CTCTCTCTCTCTCTCTCTCTCTCTCTCTCTCTCACACACACACACACACACACAGCACCATCCCATCCACGTCCTCCCTCGCTCTCTCCCTCTCTCTCTTCTTTCCTCCCTCCCTCCCTTACTCCCTCTCTCTCTTTTGCACGCGTCTGCCAGCGACGGTCTGCAGCCGGTCCGAACTCGTCTTCTTCCCCGGGAATCTGCGAGCTCCCCCTTTGCCTGCGATCAGGCTCAGAGGCGGAGGGAGGCAGCGCGAAGTTTACACCCCTGTGCCGCTGCCAAAGCCGAAAGCCTTTTTCTTCAGCTGCCGCTTTCCCCCTCCTGGTTTTTGTTTTTGTTTTGTTTTGCACGGGGGGGTGGGGTGGGGTGGGGGGTGGGGTGGGGTGTGCTGTGTGTTGGGGGTGGTGATTGGGAGGTAGGTTTTGATTTTTTAAATTTTGCATATTTTCCTTCTCTCTCTCTCTCTCTCTCTTTTTAAACTGAAAGAGGATGCACAGGAGGCGAAATTGAACATTTTTTTGTTGGCTTTTGTTTACCTGGCGTGTGTGGCAACCGGCTCGCTCCCTCTCTCTGCTTGCTATCCCTGACCTTTCTTTCTTTTTGCTCCTTTTCAAAAAAAATATTAATTTCCCCCTTCTGTGCAATGGAGCGTGGAGGGGGGAGGAGGGGGAAGGGTTTGAGAATCCACCCAAGCCCGGCCCCTATTCCCCAGAACACCAATAATAACCCCCTTTAAAACATTTACCTTCCTCCCCTGCTCCTCCCCCTCCCCCCTCCCCCCACCCGCCCCCAACTCACAACTCTGTTGAGTCCAGAAGCTCAGAATCGGGCGTTGGGCTTTGCCGGGTGCTTCAGATCAATGGTAATTATTTAATTTTTTCCAGTTTTATTTTTGTAAACAGAAATCAATTATTATTTAAACTTCAAACAAGCAAACAAGCAAAAAAAAAAACCAAAACCGAAAACAAAAACAAAAAGCGGGAGCCCAGCCCTCTGTCACCTGACTGAGTGGGAAAGAGGGTGAAGGGGTCAGTGGGGAAGGGGCTGCAGGACGCCCCACGTAGCTTTTAACCCTAATGTGGCCGAGGCAACCACCTTATTTGTGCTAACAAGAAGTGTTTTGTTCCTTATTACTGTGATTAACATTAGTATCGGTGTCGGTAACAAAGCTGAAATCACATATTTAGGATTTAGATCTGATTTAAAAAAAAAATGCTGTGGTGGACGTTCCAATTGGAGCAGGAGAAAGAATGAAAACAGCTTGGGGAGGGGAATGCCAAATCCGGTTCCTCGCTGGCTCCTGGATGTCATGTTCTCTTTTTGGGGGTGGCCAAAACCCGACCGGTGTCGGGACTCGAGGCGGCCCCCGCACGCCTAGCCCGGGCGTCCACGGGAGTCGGTGCAGACCGGACCCCGCACCGGGGCGAGCTGACAGGAGTTTGCGGCAGCGATAGAACATGGAGATGTCATGGGCGCGACAGAGCCTGGCGGGGATACCAGCAGCGTGTGTGTGTGGACGGCAACGTTGTCTGTGCGCGCGTGTGTGTGAGTGAGTGAGTGAGGGAGAGAGAGAGAGAGAGAATAGGTGTGTGCTCAGGCGCTGGGTGCCTCTGTCTGGCTGCTGAGGCTGACATGGGAGCAAGCGGCTGGCGAGGCTGGTGGCGGCTCCAGACCACACTTCTGTAGAACAATCACGAGAGAAAATTGTCGTGGGAGGGGGGAGGAGGCGGAGGCGGCGGTTTTCCTTGTGCCCCCCTTCTAACGCTTCTTTTCTCCTTTTCTCTTTCCCCCTCACCCCGGCTTCCCCTCCTCCCCGTCCTCCCTCGCCCCGCATGCTCCCGGCTTGCCGCCTGCAGGATGAGTTCCACCCGTTCATCGAGGCGCTGCTGCCTCACGTCCGCGCCTTCTCCTACACCTGGTTCAACCTGCAGGCGCGGAAGCGCAAGTACTTCAAGAAGCACGAGAAGCGGATGTCGAAGGACGAGGAGCGGGCGGTGAAGGACGAGCTGCTGGGCGAGAAGCCCGAGATCAAGCAGAAGTGGGCATCCCGGCTGCTGGCCAAGCTGCGCAAAGACATCCGGCCTGAGTTCCGAGAGGACTTTGTGCTGACCATCACCGGCAAGAAGCCCCCCTGCTGCGTGCTCTCCAACCCCGACCAGAAGGGCAAGATCCGGCGGATTGACTGCCTGCGCCAGGCCGACAAGGTGTGGCGGCTGGACCTGGTCATGGTGATTTTGTTTAAGGGGATCCCCCTGGAAAGTACTGATGGGGAGCGGCTCTACAAGTCGCCCCAGTGCTCGAACCCCGGCCTCTGCGTCCAGCCACATCACATTGGAGTCACAATCAAAGAACTGGATCTTTATCTGGCTTACTTTGTCCACACTCCAGGTAGGTCACTCTCCACCCCCCCCCCATTTTATTTTACTTGCCGCCATTTGTTTTGTGTGTATCGCTCCTCTTCTTTTCCAAAGGATCCATGCAATGGGCCTGACTAGCACGCCTGCCCTGCCGGGGGGGGGGGGGGGGGGGGCTGGCTGCAGCCTGTGTGATGTCCCCCGTTCCCTTCTGTTTCCCTCCACCCTCTCCATTCTTCCTCCTTCGCTCCCTTGCCACGGTACCTACCGGATTGTCGTGCATCTCCCTCTTTGGAGGACTCATCTTAGGACTGGGGCTCCGCTGCCCCCGAATTACCCACAATGGTGAGAGTTGGTGATGAACGCTACCACACACATACAAAAATCACTCGTTGCTCAGATTTAAAATGAGTCAGAAGAAGTATCGGGAGCCAGGTGCTGACTTTCCTGCGGCTTCCCCACAAGTCCTAGGGAAACGCGGGATTTGGCACAAGCGGGGTGGGCAGCAGTTCGGTGGAGAGAGGGGCGTGCAAAACCCCCGGTTAGGAGCCAGAATGAATAGAAAAGAGGAGAGAAGGCAGAGGCAGGCAGATTCTGGGGCCCAGATGCCCAGGCAGGAGCTGTTGTGGCTGGGATTTGGCTGCCAGAGAGTAGGAAAGTCGTTTGACTTCATAGAAAGTGAAAAGGAGCAGGAGATTCCGCGCGCTCTCCCTTCCGCGGTGTGCGGCTCCAGTGGGGAGACCCCAGGATGGCTGCCCACAGCCCCCACCCCTGGGCTGGGAAGCACAGAGGCTCTCCCCAGCACAGGCATGGCAGGGAGGAGCGTCGTTGCTGTGGTGGTCTGAGAGAAACAAACAATCCAAAAACTCTGCAAATTTTCCTTTTCTTTTGTGTTCCAAGTAGTTCCAGTTCTCCTCTTTGCTTTTCCAGTTTACCCAGCATTTTGGGTCGGGGTGGTGCAGTTCTCTTCCTCTGTTCCTTTCACTGCCCCCCCCACCCTTTCCCTTTTTATAATTTCTTTCCGCTTTTGTTTTCTTACAAATTGAAACAGAGATGGCTGGTTAATTTTTAGCCTCCACTCAGCTACGCCCAATTTACTGCCGCCTTTGAAACCTAAACGGGCGGCACTCTGTGATTAAGCAAGGCAGAAGTGTGTTTACATTATGCCCAACCAACTTGTAATGAGAGGGCTACCAAACCTTTTTCTCTCTGTGTGTGTGTGTGTGTGTGTGTGTGTGTGTGTTTTTTCCTTTCCACCATTCCGGTATTTTTTCCCCCTTGTTTCCCTTCTTTCTCTCTTTATGCAAATGTAACAGAATGTGGCTTAACTTCAACTCTGGTGAATGTTCTTTCCCGCAAGTGTGTGTGTGTGTGTGTCTTCCTTCCTGTTCATTCATAAAAAAGAAAAGCAACTCACTTTTCTGCTGTGGTCACTCCCTTGCCTGTTTGGGAAGTTGGGAAGAGTGGTATGACTTAATCCAGAGATGAAATTTTGGGGAGCTTTTAGCATTGCCTCAGGAAGGTAACCTTTACTAGGATTAGCACTGAGGGTTTATATGTTGGACAACTCTGGGGAGGAAAAGGTGCTGTTGGAGGCCTCTCTCCTTACGCAGTCACCTTCTCTCTCATTCAGAGAGGTGGCTTTGGTGGTTGGTTGGAGGCAGTGGACAACCTCTGCCCCCCTTGCCCTGGCCCCCGAAGCCATTGCTCCCTCCATGGATCTTTCTAGGCCTGCACCTGGCCCCGTGTGACTATCGTGACCCCTCATGAAGAATGCCTAACTGCCAGTCCTCTCCTCTGTTCGTCCTTTTTCTTTCTGGAAATGAGACTAAAGAAAAATTTGAAAAGTTATCCTCTCATTCTCTGTCTACACAGCAAGTTAGAATGGGGAGGGTGTGTGCCTGGTGGTGCTGGAGGTAGCCGGTGGGGAGCTTGGAGCCTTGAGTTTGTGTCTGTCAGATAGATCTTCTGCAAGGGGATTCGGTACCTTCTGATTTCAGAACTAGGGCCTCTGAGATGGAAATCAGTACTCATCTTTCTCTGGCTTCCTCCTACCCTGCTCTTTAGCTAGATCCCCGTAGCCGAGCTGTTTCCCTTTCCTCTTTTATTTTAGGCCAAATTCTTGACTGCTGCCAGCATGGGGCTGAGGTAGGATGAAGTGTGTGTGATGGAGACCGTTTGTGGCCAGCCTCCTGGCTCCTGGACTGACCAGGCAGGTGTCGGGAGAAGGGAGGCATCCCCGCCCACCCCCCAGCTATAGTGAGATCACTTGCCCAGGAATATGAGCGAATTCATGCCCCATCGAATGCGACCGCAGCCATTTCTGTCCCGGCTGAGGTCCAGTTCCTTGACAAAAGCTGAGTGGACAACTGAGGACATTTTTAAATAATTCATCTCTACTCCGGCTCCCTGGACTCCAGATAGTTTCAACGAAGGTAGGATTTCTTGCTGGAATTGCTTTAATTCAGACGTGCCTCACTGCGGGAGCAGGGGTGAGTCATTGCAGCACGGGCCACCCGTGGGCCTGGGGTAGATGGTCTCAAGAATGCAAGGAGCAGGCATGGCTTTTGCCCCCAAGCCACCCCAGTGTGCTAGAAAATGTCTTCTCCTGGCTAATTCCCCAAACAGCATCGATGTGACAGCACAGCCTTCTCCATGCCCGTGCACTCCGATGTCCTCAGCAGGCTGCCACTTGTTCCTTCCCCGCCCTGGAACCTGGGAGTGGGGGCTAGGGTGGCAAGGGCTCAGACAAGAGTTGCCGTGGATTCTAAAAGAAGTCTTTTTCTTCCCTTAAAACTGGGCTGAAGGACCAGTGTGGGCTGAGGTGGTGGTGCCGGGTGTGACAACAAGTGAATTTGACACAGTGCAAAGCGTGGGGGCACTGCTTTACCTCCAAGTGCCGTCGTCATCCGTGGCCCTTGCGTGCTCTTATTTTGCCCCACATGAAGCTTCGAGAGGAGCCATGGCTGGAGAGGGAATCTAGGACATGTGTGTGTGATGTCTGGAGCTCCACTCCCAGTGTGCGGCGTCCAAAAGACCGCCCAGAGTGTGTTACGGCCTCCCTGAGGGTTAGCTTTCCTGCTGGGAAGGAGTCTCGCCATGTGTCTGTCCCATTTAGGAGGGAACGTTGAGGCAGCTCAGGGTCAGAGAGCACTGTCATGGGGAGGAGAGGTGTATCCCTGGTGATGTCCTTCCATCCAAAGAGGTTGCCCTATGGCAGGCGGTTGAAGATAGGCTGGGAGCGCGGGTCCAGGAGGCCTCTGCTTGTGTGGGGAAGGATGGCTGCGCTGGTCTGGAAGTGCTGCTAGACTCTTTCCAAACCTTCCACGGAGCCCTGAAGGTGAACTGGTATCTTCAGACCTGCCCTAACCTAGGCTTCGGCCCTAGGAAATAGAAAAATCTGGGTGCCTGGCTGGCTCTGCTGGTAGAGCACGTGCCTCTTGATCTCGGGTTGTGAGTTCGAGCCCCATGTTGGGTGGAGAGATTGCTTAAAAATTAAAAAGAAAATCTGAAAATAATAAAATGCTTTACTGAATGGAAATGGCAGTGGAGGCCCGTGAAGTCCAGATATTCGGGTGGTGGTTCTTTCCTTTATCTCTGCTTTTTCATTATGGAGAAATTCACATGTAGAAGGAGCCCCCTTCACTGGTGCCAGTAGTTTGCCAGCTTATGGCCAGTCTCGACTCATCCATACCCCCCACTGCCCACCCATGCTGTGTCGTTTAGAAGAAAATCCAGGCATTGTAGTTTTTCATCTGTAAATATATCTGCTCACATCTCTAAAGATAAGGAGTTGTGAAGAACATAACCACAATGTCACTGTCACACCTAAAAATAATTTCTTTAGTTTCTTTAGTTTGGTCGGGCTAGTCAGTGTTTACGTTTCCCTAATCATCTAATTTTGTTGGTTTGTCTAGGTCAGGATCAGAATTGGAATCAGGTGCACGCAGGGGTGTCTGGCTGGCTCAGTCGGTAGAACATGCGACTCTTGATCTCAGGGTCATGAGTCCAAGCCCCATGTTGGGCGTAGAGCTCTAAAAAAAAAAAAAAAAAAAAAATTGTGCACACACTGCGATGGGTCGATAGGTCTTTCAAGACTCATAACCTCTACGTGGTCCTCCTCCTCCATCTTGGTTTCTTTTCCGGCAGTTTTTGGGTTGTTGCTATTGAAGGACCTGGGTCATTTGTCCCGTAGGGTTTCTCTGTCTGGACTCCGCAGCCTGTGCTCCCTTGGGTTGTTCAGGGCAGTGTTCTGAAAGGAGATTCTGCCTCCCTCCTCACTTCCAGGTCCTGGGACGGCTGGACCTTACCCAGCATAGGAAGTGGATTAGCACCTAAGGAATTGTCTAAGTGAACTTTTTCAAGTGCACGGTCACCCTTCTCAGGTACAAGAGTCCCCTGGTTTTTGCTCTCTGCTTCAGAGCTCAGGGCTTTACAGTGAGCACTGGTTTTCAGGTCCGAGGGAGGACTCCTCATCTGGGTCCCTCCCTGGTGGTAGAGGGCATCATTCGGCCATGTTAGCCCTGCCAAGATGCAGCCGATGCCAGCGATGCCCTGAAGTCTTCACCGGACGCTCGGTCCATCTGGTGGCTCTGGTGCCAGTGCATGGGAGGGGCCGGAGGAGCACCAGCCGCGCTCTTGGGGGACTAACCCCTAGCATGGCCCCTGTGCCACCTCACCCACGGCCTCCTTTTTCAAGGCCCAGAAATGCCACTGGTCTGCGTCTTTGAGGCAACACCATCTGGTGCTAGGGCTAGCGGAGACCGCAGGGCCCAGGAACCAGATTCACATGATTAGCAAGATCTACGGATCATCTTTTAACCCAACGTAACGTGCCCTTTAGAACATCCTTCGAGGAGAGGTCGGTTTTGTGCAAAGATCAACTTCGGTTGTAAAATTCTTCTGTTCGTCCAACCCGAGAATGGTTAAAGGGATGAAAGCCGCTAACACGTAACAGATACGGGCACAGAGTGGGCAGGCAGGGGCTCACAGCTGCCGCAATCAAGGCTGTTAGGACGTCGTGCGCCCAAGGCT